TTATTAATGCTGAAATATATATTGATCGTCTGAGATCCTTTTTACCATACAAATTTAAAATATTTGTATTATAAAAATATAATAAATGTAATATATAATGTGCACATTCCTCGATACAGGGAAATTCAATATCTAATATCTAATAACAGATCTAAATTTAATATTTAATATCCAATATTAAAATATATGTATATTGATCGTCTGAGATCTCCTTTGCCATACAAATTTAAAATATTTGTATTATAAAAATATAATAAATGTAATATATAATGTGCACATTCCTCGATACAGGAAAACTCAATATCTAATATCTAATAACAGATCTTTTAATATTTAATATCCAATATTAAAATATATTTATATTGATCGTCTGAGATCTCCTTTGCCATACAAATTTAAAATATTTGTATTATAAAAATATAATAAATATAATATTTATCCACACAGAAAAGTTTAATAGCTAATGTCTAATAACAGATCTAAATTCAATATTTAATATCCTATTTAAGTGAATTAACCTATAAATATTTTGTAATAATTCTTATCGCTTGTCTCATATTTTATCTTTCCGTCAGCCTGCGAATAAGCAATTAATAATAAAACGAGTAGCTTCAGAAAAATTGGTAAAATGATTACACGTATGATCATGTTAGAAAGAGAATGTCTTATATGCAGAATGCTGCGAAGAAAATTGTAAGTTTCACCATGAACGTTGCGACAGAAGAAAATTACACCCCGTGTTAGATTTTTTTAAGTGTCACTAGTTTGGTGATCAATAACGACAATTATATAACCAAGTAAAAGTGAACATTGATGTTACTTAATTCTTGCAACTATCTTGTTCAAACAGGAATTTCAATTTTTTCAATATAAAAAATTACTTTTCACTTTTTCTTTAGTCCTTGTTTTTTAAATAAAACTTTAAAAGAAGGACGTCGCATGATTTGCATTAATGAGATTAAGGAAATTAACGCATTAATTTGAATAAATTATCAGACTCAGCTTACTTTTGTCAAGATTGTAGATTTTTTATCAAGCAATAATTGTGAAAATTGTAATTCAACACAAAGTGCAACATTAAAATTATACAATATATTCGTATATGTATATGAAGGAATTTCAATTTAGATAACTATGTTTTTTCGTAAAATAAGGCATTATTCTGCTTTACTGATGACCTCAAATTGTTTTAGAGGCACGATAAATTGATAAAAATGAATTTGTAATGAGCTGGAAACTTTGTATTCGAAAATTTAAAAAGTTACATGGTCCTCAGAATACCTAACCATCTAATGGTGAAGGAACTAATAAGATTTTTAGGGCGAAACTTCAGAAAATCGCAAATAATCTCTTTTTTGCAAAAGAAGATATCTGTGAGAATGGTTTCTGGCGACTGGAAAAAATTTTTTGCCATTCTTATATCATTCCCTATATCATCCACGAGATACAGTAGAAGTGTGTGAACTGTTCTGAACACATAATTCGCATCTTCGGATCTACCGAATATATTGCCAATAGCATAAAATCAATACTAATAAATACATAACAATTATATTATAATCAGAAAAATCAACATTAATTGAATTTTTACAAAACTACAGGAATTGTCTTCCTTTATTTTATAATCAATTAATAGCTTCATAAAAATAACTAATTTTATTGAAATTGATTCTGAATTTAATTTACACATATATTCTTGAAGGTTTAATTACAGAATAAATATTGAACAATTTTGTCTTTTAAACAAAATTATTGGAACGATCCGTGCTATGCACAGGGAATTAATCAGTAAACCTTGACCGAAAAAAGTCAAAAAAGTCAAATGGACCACTCTTAATGACGTAATTAGAATTTAAATTAGAGTTTTGACTTGTTTAAAAACAAGTGGCGCCATCTGCCCGGCGAACAGCGTGAACTACACTCGGCGGGATCACGGTTTTCGTTAGTTCGCGTATTCTACCGCCAGATGACGCTACATGCACCGTTCACATAGGAATAGTCTTCCTAAATTAATTAAAAACTTTGCAAAATAATTAATTTTATTGGACTTGATTCTGAATTTGATTTTAACACGTGTTCTTGAATTGAGGTTTGATTAAAGAATGAACAGTGAACGATTTTGATTTTAAAATAAAATCTTGCCACGGAGGAATAAGCACCGAAAAAACTGATCCTCATAGACTTCAATGTAAAAATTGAATTTGCTCGCGCTTGGAATTTTCGTTATTGGAAATATTGCAAAACACCCACCGTTAGATATTTAACACATACATTGTAAAAACACTATTTCCGGATAAATACAGAGTTTTATACATATATCTTCGTTCAAAAAATATTCTTCGACATATCAAGACCAACTTGAGCCGTCCAGGTTAAGGGGTGAAAAAATTTCACTCTGGGCTCAAATACACTCCTGGAAATTAACGGTCAATTTTGAACTTTGACCTCATGCGCGGTAGCAAACCGTTACAAATAGTGCAATTTTTTTTTTTTACTAAAATACACTTCAGATCCAAAACGGTCTTATATGTGTTGTCCTTATTAAATACAAAATATAAAATTCTATTACAGAACATGAACAGACAGAGTATGAAAAGATATAAAACTACAGAGTATTGCATATACAAATAGTGCAATTTATAGACTAAAAAATTGGCGTCCATATAGCGGCGAAACGGGTGAAGTAAATCTAAAAAAATTTTTTATATGTACAGTACAGCATATAAGGAAAATAAAAAAATGAATATTTCGGCACTCTGACGACGTAGTATGGTTCCTGAGGCATTTAGAAACAAATTTCCATTAGGGTTTGATGCGTTTTGATGCCTAAAAAAGCCAGAAAATCAATTTTTGTCGAATTCGGTCCAAAACGGTACAGGTGGCGCCATCTAGCGGCGAGCGGCGGAATTACGAAATACTAAAATTTCGATTTTCTCCGAAATTAGGCAATTTTACGTATTTCTGAGAGTCAGAAAGTGTTCTGCGACCTCCCTAGAGCCTATATACTTTCACAAGAACCTCCTAAAAGCGCTAGAAAAGAAAATAGAAAAATAGTCCAAAACATGGACTAAAAAATTGGCGTCCATCTAGCGGTGAAAGTTGCAACTACAAAAATATGAAAATGCGATTTTCTCGAAAATGAGCAAACTTTGAGTACTTCTGAGACTCAGAAAGTGTTATGTGATCGCATTAGAAGCAAAATAATGCAATAAAAGCTTCCTAAAGGCTTTAATAAAGAAAATAAAGAAAATGTCATTTTATGGAGAAAATTTGTGGCGCCATCTAGCGGCGAAACTGCGAACTAAACTGAAAAACCGTATGTCCGAATAAGCAGTAAAGGGGTCAAATATAAATTGATTTTCTGTGCTTAATAGGCAAAAAAATGAATAACTTCTTCAACAAAAATTGCTTTAAAATGTATAAAGCAGCATACTACATCGTCGAAGCTGCGAAATATTACTTTTTATATTTTTCCTTAACGCGTAAGACCCCTTAACGCGTGTTCAGACATACGTTTTTTCAGTTTAGTTCGCAGTTTCACCGCTAGATGGCGCCACAAATTTTCTCCATAAAATGACAATTTTTTTATTTTCTTTATTAAAGCTTCTAGAAAACTTTTACTGCTTTACTTTGCTTCTAATGCGATCACATAACACTTTCTGAGTCTGAGAAGTACTCAAAGTTTGCTCATTTTCTAGAAAATCGCATTTTTATATTTTTGTAGTTCCAACTTTCACCGCTAGATGGACGCCAATTTTTTAGTCCATGTTTTGGATTATTTTTCTATTTTCTTTTCTAGCGCTTTTAGGAGGTTCTTGTGACAGTATATAGGTTCTAGGGAGGTCACAGAACACTTTCTGACCCTCAGAAATACGTAAAATTGCCTAATTTCGGAGAAAATCGAAATTTTATTATTTCGTAGTTCCGCCGCTCGCCGCTAGATGACGCCACTTGTACCGTTTTGGACCGAATTCAACAAAAATTGATTTTCTGGCTTTATTAGGCATCAAAACGCATCAAACCCTAATGGAAATTTGTTTCTAAATGCCTCAGGAACCATACTACGTCGTCAAAGTGCCGAAATATTGCACTTTGCATGCGCAGTAGAATTGACATAGACAGCTTATGTACGTATCGGAATGCTGACACAAAATAATTAATTACTCATTACCCGAACATTATTTATGAACTTTTATAATCGAACCATGTAAATAATGCATTGCTGACCATTCTTCAATCATAAAAGTGCACAAAATATATCCACGAAACGTGTAATGAATTATTCAAAATGACGTCGTGTATACCGTTTGTCACCGTGGCTGGCCTTAGGTTATTAGTTAATAACTAATAAATTTCATTAAAAATCGAACAAATATGATACGAGAAAGTAGCTGAGGGATCACTGAACATTCTTTAATCATAAAAGTTCATAGACTGTGCTCAGAAAGTGAGTAATTAACGATTTTGCATACTCATTATCGTGTATATTCCTCCTGCGTGTCGCCCGCGCATGCCACGAAGAAATAATCACCGAAAAACCATATCCTCGTAGGCTTTAATGCAAACTTGAATTTGCTCGCGCTTATGTACTTGACTTTTAAACTTTTTGTCCACGTTTTTCTCTTGCACCACTCAACCAATTTATAAATCCCGTCATTACGATCCCCCGAAATTGCCCCAAATTTTAGAAAATAAAAAATAAAAAATAAAAAACAAAATATTGAGAATTTGGACCAGGAGAACATGCATTTTCATAACGTCATTTCAAGAATTCCCGAAGCAAAATTTTTGAAATTCCACCGACCAATTTTGAAAATTTGTATCAGGAGAACGTAAGTTGTAAGTAGGTATCCTATGTGCCATTTCTTGGAATTTTGCTGACGTCATTTCCAAGAATTCTCATGTTCTCTTGATACAAATTCTCAAAACTCTCTTTCGGATATGTAAATTTGTAGTCTGTTGGGTCGGTTAGATAACAATAAATACACAATGATTGTTGATAATTTTTCTTTATTTTCACCACTTTTCATACAGTGCCTAACTGAATTAAACTTATTGTTTAATCATTTAATTATTAACTTGTGGAACGCCTGTGCTGTGCACGGGGAATTAATCATTTAATCTTGACCTCCTGCGCAGTCCTAAACCGTAAAAGATAGACATGCACAGTAAATTTTTTACAAAGAGGTTTAACTCAGAAAAGTCTAATGGACCACTCTTAATGATGACGTAATTAGTTTTTAAATTGGAGCAATTTTTATTGTTCGAAAATTTGTTGCCCAGGATCCGCGGTTATCTCATGAAAACCTTGACACCCTGCGCAGTCCTAAACCGTAAGAGATAGATATGCGTAGTAAATTTTTACAGAATAATCAAAGAAAAAGCAGCTGTAGCACTCTCAATGATAGCGTAATTAGTTTTTATATGTGTATCCCTTAAAAAGTGTCCCTTAGTAACGATTTTACTGTACTATAATTGTAAAAGTACACATATAATATGTTTCTGCCTTGTTTTCGAGCATGCGTACAACGTGTCAACGAAACTCACGGATATGTTTCTGCGTTATAATATGATGATGATTGAAAACGATCAAACTACGATTGCTTTACACATTGATCATTTGTTCAAATTTGCAAACAGAACTTTTCTTGACCGACGGCTCTGATAACAGTACTCTTCTTTACCGATGAATCTGATGGTCATCACAGGACCTCAAAATGCTCAGCCATCTAGCTGTGAAAAGATGAAACTAATGAAATCATATTTGAAATTCGATACATTATAAGATATTGATATTTTGGACTTATTACACAGTAGAATGACCACTTCGGAAAATGTAGCAAAACTTCGGAAAACCGTCTTGGTCCGATTCTAACAAAATTTTACAAATAAACTTCTTTTCGCAATAAGAAACATTTGTGAATCGGTTTTTGGCGACTTGAATATGTTACCATCTGCTTATCATTTCTCACTTCTGAAACTCGAATGCTCTATAAAATATTGTACTTATGAAATAAAATATAAATTTGCAAATTATATTTTATTAGTTATCAATGTTATGCTTGTTGATTAGATATAACGCCTACCATTTCGTGGATATACTGATAGAGACCCGTTCTTTTGGCAACCATTTTTCTCATGAAAACCAGATTTGCTCTCGAGTACATTTCTATTTTGTTCCGGTTTGTGTATGGTTATGAAAATGTATAGGGTTATCTCACTCGTGGTTAAAAATCTGTCTAGGTTGTCGACCTGCATGAATCTCCTTTCACGTGCAGCAAAGTATACCTGGCGAGCAGAAAGTTTAAGAACTTATAATCCTTATTGATCGCTATATATTTCACTCATTAATTGAAACATTTATTTATATTGCTGAAAAAATATAATAGATACACTAACTTCTGTTGGTCTCGAATTTCTACTGTGGATAATGACGAAGAGATCTCATGATAACTAGCTACCGAATGAATTACTCCTTCACGAACCGCTCACTAACAACCCGCTTTCTAATATATTTCTGTACACAATCAGATGCATTACAAAACATCTTGTGTTGAATGTCGAAACATTTAATTATTCTTAAATTGCTAGGTTTTCCAAAGTTCTCGAATTATTCAATTTCAAAATTTCCAAAGATCCAAATTTGAAAATTCGCCAACCAAGAATGAACGGCTGATAAAACTTTTTCTTTTGCATTACTATTTTTATCAAGGAAATCTGCCGCTTACTCAGTTGATCAATTGTAAAATAATCGATCACGATTTTTTATTTTTTGTTTATTCCCACCGTGTATTTAACCACGAAGCAGAAGCAAACTGTAGAATGGCATCTGCCTCGTGGTGAAGAATCTCCCTAGCCTATCGAGTTGTGTGGATTGAGGTTACTTTTTCGTAGAATGAAGTAGAAATCGAAGCCATAACGGTTCAGTAATTGGACATATCCGTTTATCTAGGAACTTTTCGCAACAGTGATATATATATGTTGTATGTATACAGAAAGAAAACTATTTATGTGATCCGTTTATGAATCTGCTGGTAGTACGGACCACGAAGAAATAGTGACTGATTTTGTATTAACCGCATGGTGTATAGTTTAAAATTGTATATATCACTCAAGTATGATATTTCTTGCACAGTATATCAAGAAGCCGTTTATTTTGAATACAATGTAAATGAACATTTTAGGGTAACATGCTTGCCGACAAGTGTAAGTCGTTATAATATCGTTATATCTGTTATAATTTTACGGGGAAAAAATTCATTTTAGGTTACTAAACTGCACAAAATCAATGTACGTGTTGCTTTTAATTCAAATTAAATGCATGGACATTAATATAGTTTGCTTACTACATAAATTTCTTGTATAACCCAGAAACGAATATGAGTTACCGACGTTTTTTCGAATAATAAAAATTCGGTGTCCTTTATAGTATAACTTACTTCCACTGATGCGAATAATATTTCATTCTTTTGATCTATTTTATTATACAATAGATTAAAAATGATTTGCAGTGCATATGTGTTTTTAAAATAATTGTATCTTTACTTTATAGAAATCTACCACAATATGGCAGAACAACAACAATCACCACCTGACTTTAAACGTATGTCCTTAGATAAGATTATTGAAGCGATGACTTCAGATTTGGAAAGTTCTAATGGTCATTATGTTCACTTTGGTATAAATCCGCAACAAACTACAACCCATAATTGGGGAGATTATTCTTCAAGTCAAACAAGACATTATATTACTAGCCAGACTCCACATTCTAATCCATCCACGATGCAACCAATGACTCCAATGAATAGTCCTTTATATGTGCACGACATGTCAAATTATGAGTCTACGGCTGATTCAATTTACTTTCCATCACAAGCAGTAAATCATTTAGGTATAAATGAAAATAATGACTTAATTGGTACAATAGATGTTGGTGGAGGTAATTATATTAATGTAATTTATGGAAATGCTTCACAAATCATGGCAGAACAATGTCAGCTTTCAAACATAACATCCTATAGAAATCAAAATATCATTGGTCAAGAATATGGTCTTTTTAACGATCGACATATTACAGTACCATCTGAAATGCCAACTCAAAATTTTAATGGAAAACAATTGATTGATAATTTAGTTGGTAATTGGGTACCAAATCAGTCTGGTACATATAGTCCTTTCGGTAGTTCTCCAAATGTAACTCCAGTACCACAGTTGAATGTAGACGTCAGAGAACCTGAAGGATTACCTAGAAATTCAATAGAATCTCAATATAAGAAACCTCGTGTGGTAGCAGAAGTAAAACCTATGCGTCCATCTTATTCTGATGTTTTGACAAAATCTGCACCAACACCTCCATCTCCTTTAACAGTTCAATCTATAAAACCAAAAACAGAATCCATAAATAAAAAAATTTCTAATAAAAATTCAAAGAACAAATCTAAGTCTGCTGCATTAAAGAGGCAAAATTCATCTGGTAGTGATGATCACAATTCTCCAAAAATGCAAATACCACGAAAAGTTTTAGAGAAGAATAACTCAAATCTACCAAGACGCTGGGTATCGTTAGACAATCTTGGCTCTCCAACTGAATCTCATGAAATAAACACTTTTGATAGATCTACTCAATTTGAGAAGAAAAAAGTTTCTAAAACGCCAAAAAAGGCAGAGAAGGGAGAAACACTTAATAATTCAAAAATTCAAAATAATAATCCTAAATCTACAGGAAATATTCTCAAACGACCTATACAAATAAATAATAATTTGAATACAACCAATACTTCCAGTCAAACTGTTTCACCTGAAAAAATAGAGAAAAATCAACAAACTGTTAATAAAATAAATAAAGAAGAGAAAAAAGTTACCAAGGAAAAGAATTCAAAACGTTTTCAAACTGAAAAGGCACAGCAAATTAAGAAAGCACAACGAAATCGTAGAAGAGAGAATAGGGAATCTCCAGTTAAAGATTTATGTAAAAATTTAAATAAATATGCCAATCGCTGGATTAAAATCGGTTTAAAAATATTTCATTGGCTACTGCACTTGGTATCTGATGTAGTTAGTATGAGTGCCAATCTGATGATTCAACTGTAAGTAAAATTTAATATAAAAAATATTACTATTCACATTTTACAATACCAAACAATATTTAACAAATATAATGGGTACCCATTCAGTATATCATTAGACACCTAAAGTAAAATTTTATTTGAACCTGAACTGAATTTTGAACTGTTAGTATTTAAAATATGCTGTACACTGAAAAGTATAAAGTAGCAAAATAGTAGTATGTATAATAATACAGTAGTAAATAGTAGTATAAGTAGTATAGTAATATAGTATAGCAGTGGAATAATGAAATAATTAAACGGCAAAGCAAGATTGCATCAGAACTCAACATACATAACTCTGATCTCGAGCAAAAAAATATTAAAGTGAAACAATTAATAATAAAATATTAATACTTTATACATATCAAATAATTTTTCAAGTAAATTAAATAATGTGTATTATATGTTTTAGTGGTAAATGTGGATGGTATCATACAATATTATATTTAAAATATTCATGGGTATACATGGCTGTAGCATTTTCTAAAATACGTATTTTAAATGCTGTTGGTAAACAATTAGATGATTGGTTTGGAAATAGTAAATTTGCATTTTGGCGTAAAATAAAAGCTAAAAGTGAAGAGAAAGAAGAAAATAGTAATTGGATACGAGGTGGTCTCGAGAGTAATATTGCATTACCTAGTACTGGTGAAGAAGCTATGAAAAGATTATTAGCTTGCAAAGGAAAAGATCCATATAGTATACTTGGTGTAACACCAACATGTTCGGATGATGATATTAAAAAGTATTACAAGAGACAAGCTTTCTTAGTGCATCCTGACAAAAATAATCAACCTGGTGCTGAAGAGGCATTCAAGATACTCGTACACGCATTTGATATAATTGGTGAACCGGTATTATATACGTTTTATATTTATTCTTATAAATTTAAAAAAAAAAGTATGTCTTTTTACACTATGATAATTATGGTTGCATTGCACTTTAAATATTTTAGGAACGAAGACAAGCATTTGATCAAACTAGACAAGTTGAAGCAGCTTGGGGTGAATTAAGCGATTTGCTCTCTCAACTTCATAGAAAGATGGAACAAGCGGCAAATACGATAAGATGTACAAATTGTGGTCTAAGGCACAAGAGAATTCCTACACAACGCCCTTGTTACGCAGCACGATTTTGTGCTCAATGTAAAATACGCCATAGCGCAAGAGAAGTAAGTACTAAAATGGCGTGTAAACCAAATATTTCTCGACTGTACTTTTAATTAGATTGGTCAAATTGATAGGGAGATATCTGGGCAGAATCTCGTTTAATGGGTTTTCTTTGGCATTATTATGCCTGTATGGAGGGTGCAGTGTATGATGTTACTGATTGGGCAGCTTGTCAAGCTGGTAATTTGAAACATCTGAGAGCAAATACGCATAGTGTCCAATATAGAATTGTCTTAGGTCAGCGGCCACCGTCGCAAACAAACGTCAATAATAATAAAAAACGTCAACAAATAGACCCAAATACAAGGTACCATTATTTGGAATAATTATAATTAAATTTATAGTATATTCATATAATTATAAAGTTTGCTAACAAATATACAATACTTCAAATTGTTTTTTATTTTGAACAGCGAAGCAGATTTTGAAGACTTTTTAAATAATTTGTACAATCATAGCAAGACCGGAACCTCAAGCACATCAGCAGATCAAAATTCTTTTAGAGGGGACTGCAAGCGCCGTAAAACTAAACGTAAGAAGTAAAAATTATGGCAAGTTACTTCCTAATTCTTTAGTATCTTTCGTATATAATTATACAATAATATACATACTTCTCTAATGACTTCTTATATTTTTTCTTCAATATGAGTATAGATAACATTCAGTGACTTTAGCACAATATTAAAAATACTGAATAGAGCAAACTTGGAAAAATATATGTATGTAATTTTTGCCTCCAAAAACAATGATTTTACTTTTCTGCAACAGAAGTAGTTGCAAAACTTTTAGAAGTGTATATATTTATTCGAAACTGATGAAGAGTAATGTTTATTTAATAAATATAAACTGAATGTTCATTTAAAATTAAGACAGTTGTGTAAAAAGTAATCATTTTAATCATTGATTTATGTAGGACAACAACGTGTACTTTTTTTAATGATTATAATTAATAAAGTATACCTCTTCAGTGTATTTTAAAATGCAAAGATTTATAATTAATATAAAGTTGAAGATATAACAAACATACCAGCAGTGTTAAAGTATATTGTAAATTACAGTTTTAAAAGCAAGACAAGAAAAATTCTTAAATTAAATAAGATGAGAATCTTAAATATAAATTATTTCCACAAAATTAAGAACACAAAAATTCTTGATGAATCAAATTATTAGAGAGGAAACTTTCAAAAGCAGTTTAATACCACTCAAGACAAATTAACTTTCAGTAAAATTAATTAATTCTAAACATAATACTCAAATAGAAGTGTTAGAATAGTATTTTAACATAATATGCAAAATGAAGCTGCAGTAAGTAGTTTTAAGGATTTGTTTCTTAATTTAGAAAAATCGAAAAGCAATGAAAAAAGTTCAGAGTCATTTTATCCGAAAATTCCTCTAATAACGTGTCAACTTCTCATAGATTACTGTATATCAGCTAATGTTATCTATAAACTGTAATCATCATGCAATATAAGTGGAAATTACTTTTAATTATAAGTTGTATTAATTTTTATAATATCTTCTCAATTTGTTCATTTTTTCAATAAAAATTGAAATGTTAGTTCTTGTATATAGATAATATGTACAAGTATAATCAATATAAGAAACATTGATTAAAATTGTTTAAATATGTTTATTATTTTTAGAAGGTAAAAAGATATTAGAGAAAAATTGTATACAAATGACGATTGCGATGATAAAAAAGAATCTTCTTGAAATTCTTGTTCAAAAATATTAAGCTCACTATTTTTCCTTCAAATAAAGTATATTTTCTATCAAATTTTTGTAATACAGGTCAAATTATTTCAAAGGAATGCTGTAATATGTTCTTGTGACTATTTAATCTGAAAATATTTTCTTATACCTAAGTCGATTATTTAATTAGAAACAGCTTAATAGTCAAACTGGATCAACATTACAATATAACAGATACTCAACATATAATTAAGTCATCATTTGTAACTGTACAAATTCAAACTGAATTATTTTATTAGATGAAGTTAAAACAGATTGTTCTAGAGTGCTTCTCAGATGAACGGAACGTCCGCGCATTTACTGACCTTGAGACGTTCACTAATTGCCTAAAACAGACATGATCAAGTGGTGGCTCGTAAGCTACAGTATGCTGCTATCCTTTCTTCTTCTGTTGAGTAATAAGAGAATAATCCTGATCATATCTACTATTTGTTCATCCTCCGCTCTTTATTCATGAAGAGTAGCTTGCTAATATGCAACTCAGCCTCCAAAATTGGAAGGGAATTTTAATTTATAGGTGATAGGGTTTCATGATTTACTTGATAAGAGTAATAAATTCAGTATACACTACATCATTCGCCATGTCCTTATTAAAGTTGCACACTCTATAATAACACAGCGGGCTATTTCGTACATAGTATGCTTTCGATCTTACTTCTACTTCTCATCCAGAAACATCTGGACTTCATCCTGAAATAATCGAAGATATTCGCACTCTCGGAGGAATTCTATCTTGGTTTGAGATCTTTTGCGTCTTTATGTGGAACGTCCATATTTCTGCATTTTCTATAATACATCTCATCGGTAGGAGAAGTTGAACTTACTTCTCAAATTATAGAACTTTGTAACAGCTACCGGATGTTAGAATATTTTAGTATGATAAGTATGCTTTAGTATGTTTAACAAAGTGGCAGAGCACTACAAAGAACAATATAACATGTTTTACATGTTATTTAGCAGAACAAACTTTTTCAGTTACTTTATACATGTTCATCCTTTTCTTCAGGATCTTCTAATTTATCTAATGATTCCAAACTTTTAGCTGTTTTTATAAATGTATAATTTACTGGAAATATTTTTATATCCATAAATGAAATTTTTTTATTTCCTTTTACATATTACAATTGTTATAGAAATTATGAGACTTATTAACATAGTATGTCTCCAACATTACCACACTGAGCAGTGTGTGCTTCCATAAACAAATCATTTAATTGAATTAAATTATATTAATGAAAATATTTGCAGATTAGATGGTCACAATAATATTTTATACTATATGGATACTGTAGAAATCATTTGTTTGAAATCATTTAACTTTTTCTTCAGGTATTTCATTCTAAGTAATAAAATTATTTAATGTTTTTATTTAATTGCTCTATTTAATGTATTAACATAATAACAGTATCTCTTGTGATCTCTGAACATTTGTAATTGGTAGTATGAAAACTAGATGATTGGCGTACATGAAACAAGACTGATTTTTTCTCTCTGTATTCATAAATTATATACTAGATAGAACTTTTTGAAATAATTCTTTTTATGTTTAAAATATTCTTTGACATTTCAAATTAAAAAAGAATGAAAAAAATTTTATTTTTTAGATTCAATGCAAATATTACAATTACTAATTAAATTGAAAACTGAAAGTAATTGTGATGTAAAAATTTCATTCTGCATTATACAAAGTAAATTATAAATGATAGTAGAATAATTTATAGAATAATATTAAGATATCTATAGATATGTATCAATGTATATTATTTTAAAAGTTTATTTATGTTTTACTTGTAAAATAATAATGTTGTGCAATTCTTTGTATGTGCAGATGAAATTATATATGTGTATCATACAAGTTTTAGGATGAAGATACATATTACACATAAAACTTACAAATTTTAGTATAAATATAGTAAAATATTTTTAACCAATATCTTGCTATCTGTTACATGAAAAATTAATAAGATTGTCTTTGTGCTTAAACTCATAATAAAACGCTTTTATGTAATTTGTAGTTATTTTTATCTATTCCTGTTAAAAATTTTCTTTTGTATGTGCACTGAATTATTTATAAATCAATTTTAAATTAATTTATATGCAAAAATGTTGTTATTTTTACATTATATAATTACAAAAAATTTGCAAACCAGAATTGACATTTGTAATTATTTGCAGCATCTTTAATGTTTTTATTTTTATAAAAATAACATAATATTGTAAAAATGAATCATTTTATCTTCCATCTTCAATGCTTTATGATGGACAATAAACTTCATGAATTTTGAAGATGTTCATTTTACAAGATATCTTGAAATATAAGCTTGCATATCATGTATGCACTTATTGAAATTATAATTATAGCTAATTCAATATATCATAATTTAGTTATTCATGTAATATTAATTCAGATAAAAAAACAATAAATCTTTTAAAGTCAACCTTATTCATATATTTTCGTATATTTTGTTATGAAAACTAAAATTGAACATATACACTGTAAAATATTTGTACATGTAATCATCTTTAATATAACAATGTAACTTTATCATAAAAATATGGAAAAAAGATGTCAGTAATATGTTACAAGGCACAAATATTAAATTAGATTGAGTTTCAGTCAAACACTCCTTCTAAAAATACAAGTGCATCAACATTATCAATTGCTCTTTCTACATCTCTCTTTTGTATTGTCTTTTTTTTCATTTGTGCAGTATACTTATATGATTCTTTAGTAAGGGAATCAATAAAAAGTTCCTGTAATAAGAAACAAAGTCAGGAACATGAAATATTTATGACAAAAATAAGAAGTTAGGCTTTATATTTACTATATTGAATTGTGTTACATTTTGTATTCAATCTTATACATAATAACACTATTCAATTTGCATTTTCATATTCGTAAAATCCATTTTTTAATATCACTATAACTGACAAATATAATATTAAAAACAATATAATGTTTTCCATTCACAAATCAATAAAATAATTATTAATTACCGTAGATTTTGTAATTAAGAAAACTGCTTCTTGGTTAATCATGTTTACTTCGGGATCCATTTTTATAATTGTTTTTATTCTACCTAGTGGTAACTTCACTAACTTTTCTTTTTGTTCTTCATCGGCTCGGATATTTTCGACTTCTTCTTGAGAATCTTGAGAATTTTCTCCACCAATACTGTTATTACTTTCGTTCAATTTTTTTTCACTTGCACTTCCTTCGCTTTCAAAATTTGCCATATTTGTATCCGTTTATATCTCATTCCACAGGAGCATACATGAGAATACCAAAAAATTCCCGCAGTTCTAACGAAGTACAAAATCTTTCCACGTGCTGCTTTTGCTTTCGTGACTATATACGTAACGAGGAAAAATCATTGCGCTTTTTTGTAATCTATCTTGAACTCATGATTTATGGTCTATCTCGAACGGAGCACTATGAAGTTCAATGTTTATTATTTAATAATTGTTTACAGTAAATTTAATTGTACGTTTACTTAAAGTACAAATTATAATATTTAACCGGAATTTGATTATATTCTACAAACATAAATTTATCTAAGAGAAAACGGATCCTCAGAACTTGCTGTCAATGATTGCAAATTACAACTATTGTTAAAATCAACCAACATGGAAAATTATACCAAGGAATATAATTTTTTCGTATATATAAAGGAATATAATGTTACAGTTTCAACGTTATGAGATTTAACAGTTTGTTTTATTTATTTGAAACATATAATCTAACTAATTATATTGCTTAATGATAAAATGAGTAATCAATTACAAACTTCAACTAGTTTGCAGAAAACTGCAGTGTCTAATTCTCAAAAGAAAAATTCCAACTTCAGTGTTAAAAGAAAATGTTATGAATTATTTTTTAGTTGTTTTAAAAACGTTCATAAAAGAGAATTCAATGAAGATATAAATCATCATTTTAATAAATATGATTATATTGTAGAAAAACTAGTTGTTAAACGTGTACCATCTATCTTTCTTGAAATATCTGTAAGCGCATCAGAAACAAATGATGAAAATTTTATCAAGAATATTCAACCATCATTAGTAAAAATGAATACTGTGGATCCTAATAAATCAAAATCTCAGCCATTAATACATTCTTCTAAAGATTCAAATGACAATACAATACCTGCAAACGTTGTTAATAACTCTTTGAAAATTGATTCAAACATAATTATACCAAACAAAAGTAACAACAAACTTGCATCACCTATTAACCATGATACTAGTGTAATTGAACTAATGAATTCTTTGACAAGTTTACATCCTGATTTGAAAGAATGTGAAAGACCACCTAAAGATCCATGTCCTTTAATCACACCTATAAATGAAACTGAGTTATCTGGAAATACTGAGAAAATTCCATCAATTACAAGATTTTCAAGTAATAGCAATGCAAGTCAAAAGCAAGAAATGATGAAATCCAAAACTTATGTTTTAGAGCCTTTTTTATTACAAAAAGGTTTAGAGCTTTTCATACATTAGCTACCTTCAAGAAACTTAAAGTTAATTTTTATCCATTTCCAGAATTTGGAGATGTAAAATCTCCAGTTATGAAGTCAAAAAATAAACAGAGAATTTATTATTCAATACATGATACATATTTCAATGAATTTCAAGATAATTATACTTGTAATAAGAAAGAAACATTTGTTGTTCAACGTGATCAAGGTATGCTCTATAGCTTTAAAAATTTTGCAAGATTTTTAATAACACAAATCAAATGAACACAGACAACTCTACTGAGAAGTTCAAACAAATTCTAAATAAGTTGCAACAAAATCAACAAGTTTTGACAAATGAATCTAAAGTACTTGGTAAGAGTATTACAAACAATAATGTATTAGATACAACATTAAGATGGAAAATCATTGTGAAGCATTTTAAAACGAAGCAATCAAATATATATAATTCATCTCTGAAAACTAATAAGTATTTCAGTGTAAATTAATGTATTTAATTTTGTGTATGCACAACTGATTTATAACCATTTTTATAATAAATTTAAATTATTGATTTATTTTCATAAACAGTTATAAACGTTCATCAAATCAAGATAGACTTTGGTTAAGATCGAATTGACTTTGGAGGCCTCATACGACGAAACTGTGAAACCAACAATCCTTGTTTCTTTTACATTGTATTGTATATTGTAGAGGAATGACAGGGGCAGCACACATGTTAGGGTTGGGATAAAATGCGATTACATTGTTCACAAATTTTGGAACAAAGAAGTATTTCTTTATGCTTTCTTTTTAAATATTCTTTGTATAGTTGTACAAGATACAACAGAATCCAATTTTATAGTTTGAATTCGAAAACTTTATGCATATACAGTTTTGTATATTTACATACTTTTGGTTTTAATAAACATAATCTATTTTTTATAAACGTTTCTTAAAGCTGGTATATGTTTTTAATAAGACTTGTCTACGTTGCTATATACGTAGTTTTCATTGCAGCTAGTTTAAAGTTCAATGGTCTGTTCATATTGTATATTGATAAGGTATAAATGTCTTTATTTCACCTGGAATGAAATAGAAAGAGGTAGACAGAGAAATTCAATTGATGAATGCGTCATACTGAAGCGCTTGATGTGTGGAGGTGCAGAAATTGGTGGAGAAAACGTTACGCTTATTAATCAAGAGAAATACGTTTAACAAGGGAACATTAAATTCATTTTTGTTCACCTTGTATGTAGCCAATATAGTGAAAAGAGTATTGTAGTGGACAATGTTATATGAGTAGTGGGATCCCTACTGAAGTTAGCTGAGTTTGTTGAGTATGATCTTTCGTTGAGTATTAAAAGTTGATAAGAGCAAAATAACACATTATAGAATGCTTGGAAATTCGTATACACAATTACAATTCTTTAAACGTTTTATTGTCTAAATAATACATACTGAAAGAATAAAACTTTTACGTTCAACTAAGCATCGATCATCATACGTTATTTAATTATTTAGTAATTACCTAAGTATAATTTTGTTACATTATATTCGGTATTATTGTGTAATCAAATTTATTGAACATGAAAAATATAAATAATATTGAATTCTAAATTTTGCGTTATATACAACATTTTTAAGAAAATTATGTACGGTGTGTTTATTATATGCGTGCATATAAATTTCGTAAAAAGCATGACTTTAATACGTCATGAATATTCAGTTTCCTTAACAATGAATTAACTCTCAAACTACTTTTATATATCTTTTATGTATACATCAAATTTTTGTTATTATTTAATCTATTATTATATATAGAAGAAAAATATTTGTTTTCATGGCGAATTTTTAGTTGAATTTTGTTATCAGTTTCCACTTATTGATTAAATTAATCGATGAAAATTTTATTCACTGTATAGAAATCATTTCTTTCTAGGAGTTAATGTCTATACGAATTTAATTTAACTATCGGATTTCACGACATAATAAATAAATACTCTGTCGAAACCAAATTTATCATCAGTACTGTATTGTGCTGTATCCATCTGTCTATGAATAAGGATCAACAGCAGTTAGCAGCTGGTAGCCGCAATAATGTCTGTAGTGGATAAAATTAAGCACTATCAGCGAAATATTGAAAAATGTGATGACAATGAGGATAGAGTATGTATTGCTGCACTAATTTTCGTCTTCTACGAACATATAATGATGAATACAGCTTCGGTATTTTATTAATGTCGTTGGGGTATAACCTAACGACGACGTCTAAACAAAGTTACGATCATGCCTAAATTAAATCAGTTATTGTTAAAAATTGATCATATATATCACAAAATAAATATATACATATATATATATTTCAAATAAAAATAAATTTTTGCAATATTTATTCCAATGTATTTTCATTTTGCTTTAATCCTTATATGAAACCAACCCTTTGGAGAAATTATTGTCTTATCTAATTATATTTTTACTAACCTCAGTACCAATATACTTATGTAAAAATGTTGGATGATAAAAAATATTTGTTTTTGCACAGCGAAGACTAATTCGTAATAGGCGTCATTATTAATTGATTTTATTTTTTCCAATTTCTTAATCCTTTGTTTGTGATTGTTTTGTTTTATGAAGTAAAAAATTGATTTTAACATATCTTTTCTTAAATACATTGCAGATACTACATTGCATTTCAAAGTTATCTAATTTGCCAGTGACGGTGCAACATTTACAAGAAACTGGTGTAGGACGTACAGTAAATGCTTTAAGAAAGTACGAAGGTGGAATCGGAGATGCTGCTAAGGCGCTTGTTGCAAAATGGAAAACAATGGTTGCTAATGAAGAAAGCAGCGAAGGTGAAGATGAAGATGAAGCATGTGTCCCTGATGTACCTGAAAGTTACAATGATAATCGAGAATCTCCCAAATCTGAAGAAAGTGCAGTGAGGTAAATTAAATTTTATTCTTCTTACAATCTATATATTGTATTCTTAAATTATGTTTGTTTTTAAAATTTTATGTAGCTGTATTGTATTGTATGTAATTTTAGACTTCATATATTAATTTAATAATTTATAATATATATTGAATTTGTTTCAAATATCTTTTCAGACACAAAAGTGAAGGTAGTGGAAAATATATGCATAGGCATAAGACAGAAAAAGCTGAAGTATCACATACATCACACAATAGTAAACATTCTTCTAAGCATGAATCAAAAGTAAAATCTGTGGAATCACAATCGAAAAGTAATTGTGATACCAAAATTTTAGATAATGATTTAGAAAAACAGAAGAAGTATGATAAACATAAACATATTCATAAACATGAATCAAGAAGTGATAAAAGATCTTCAAAAGATAATAAAAGTGCCTCTAAAAATGATGATACGCATGTTTCTAAATCACACAGTCATAACAAATCTGATAACTTAGAAAAATATTCCAATAGGTCTTCCTGTAACAGTAGTTTATCTAAAAACAGTGAAGAAAATCATAAAAAACGTAAAAATGATGATTCAAATACTTCAAGGAAAGAAAGTAAACGAAGAAAAAATTCAGAAAGTGAGAACGAAGAAAGCAAATTTGATATATCTTCTAATTCTGAGAAGCATAATGTTAATTCTGCACTAGGCATAATTAAAATAAAAGAAGAACCCAAGGATAAAGAAGTATTAAACAAGCATGAAATTAAGCCTGAAATTAAGCATGAAAAGAAAGACTCGCAGGAGAAAGTAAAAGGAAGTTCTAGTAAACACAGAACTGATTCCTCTAGCAGCAAGTTAAAAGAAAGTGGAGACAAATATAAATATAAAAGCGAAACACACACATCATCTAGTAAAGATGAAACTAAAAAAGTTGATAGTCATTATTCTAATAAAGATTCTTCAGAATCGAAGTATAGTAACAGTTCCTCTCATGACAAACATTGTGATAAAAATAAAGATAGAAGCAAGAAAAAGGAACACAAAGAAGGAAAAAGTAAACATGACAGTAAAAGTAGTAAAGAATCAAAGCATTCTAAACAGGGATCAAAGGAACCAAAGGAATTAGTGAAAATAAAACAAGAGATGAATGGTGATGAAGGAATAGATTGCCACTCTGGTTAGTTTAAAAATATTACTTTCACCGTAACTAAAAAAGACGGTTAAACGTTTATTTTTTTAAAATTATAATTGCGGAATAAATTTTGTTTATCGCTATATTAATTTCTCTAATTCGTTTCGTGTTATATAAATTGTTTATATTTGAAATACATATAAAAAAAATTTTTTTTACAATTTCTAATAAATGGTAACACTTTGAATTTATATTCACCAGTATATTATTTTATGCACAGGAGCTAGTTTTGCAGAAGCGCTTGGCATGTGCACAATGGCTCAACTATCTAAAAAACGTAGTAATAATTCCCCAAGTTCAAGTTCAGCAAAAATAATCAAACCAGAACAGTCAGTCACAAATAACAAAAAAACAACAAAAACTGAACCAGCAACCGAAACTTTACAAGTAATCAATATCAAATAGTTTTAATTTATGAGAATTGCATATATAGTTACATTATTACCAATCTGCAAATTTTGAATAAATTTTATATATTATAAGTATTGACTAATTTTTTTTTTTTATAGCCACCATCTCTTCTATCATCATCTGTAAAATTAGAACCTTTGAATGTAGATTTAGCATCTACACTACCTGAAATTAGTCCCAATTACAAACCACTGCCATATGTCAACCCTATTCATCGTAAAGAAGAAGATAAAGCTCTTACAGATGTGATGTATGTTAAAAACCAAAGGTATGTTTATAACATTAAGTAATTATATGAGAACATAACGGATATATTTCATTAATTCTAAAGTATTTATTAATACATAATAATAGTTGGGCTCCCGTCGCCGCAGATTTATTTGATGTCTTGAAATTGTAATACCACAAAAAAATAAGGATAAAAGTATATTATAAAAGTATAATGTAATGTGTACATTATATTTTACTATAAGTTTATTTAATGATAATTGTGGTAAAGTTATATTTGTCATTTAAAAATCATGAATCAATTTATTAATATGTGTGCCCTGTATATGTGTATTACACGAATATCATGTCGCATTATCCGCACTTTAATGAAACTGCATTAAGTTTTGCAGACTTTGAGAATATAGTAAATAAAAGAATTTTTACTTTTAGGACAAAAGTATATTCGGGAAATAAGTCTGGTTACACCACTGTACCAACTCTGTTTGAGTTGTGCACAAGAATATTAATGGACAATATCGATGGTAATTTTTATAGTATTAATATGTCTAATACATATAGGTAATATATATTTTAGAAATAATCTTAACTTGCAAAGGGATAATATTCCATATTGTTTCTCATTAGATGTTTGTTTTTCACATTCATACAGAGTAACATATTGTTAAAGATTATATCATATTTTTTAGAAATAATTACTTTAAATAATTTATTTATTTTCTACGCGCAGCACTTGAATTTACGGGTGGTGTACCTTTTGATATACTAAAACCAATTTTGGAACGTGCAACATCAGATCAATTATTTATGTTGGAACACTACAATCCTTATTTAATTGAAGATACAGACGTATTGTGGCAATTTCATTGTAATCGTGAATTTAGAAACAAACAAAGAGAAGAAATGGAAACATGGCGTGAAATGTACATGGTATATATTTTTTGAAGAGACATTTATTTATGTTGTGCATTATTCTGTAATATCTATATAATAATTGTATAATTTACATTGATTTTTATTACAAAATAGCGTTGCCTAGATGAACGAGAAGCAAAGTTGAAAGCACTTACAGCTAATATAAAGCAATCAATAGACAAATCTGTTCCAGTAAGGTCTACCAAACTAGCATATGTAGATAACGTTGTCAAACCTCCAAGAAACATTCTTAAAAAGCAGGCCAAGTATGGCACTGCGAATTGTGTACCTAGTACTGCATCTACTTTAAAGAAAAAATTAATTAGTGGCGGAGGAAATCCCGCGGATGCAACAAACATTGCTGTTCCACCACCACCTATGTCTCGTGCTAAGTCATGTGAGTATTTTGTATGCAGGATAGAAAATAAGTTAAATTTTTTAAAAATATATATATACTTTCGAATATTTAAAAGTATTTATGATTAGAATGTGTATTTATTTTATTAGCATCTGGTGTTGTAAAGAAAACTAAAGCACCATTGATGGCGAAAGCGTTGCAATTAATAAAAGGACGTTATAAACGGTAGTTCATATAACGGTGAGTCATATATCATTTTACAATTTATATTATATATAATATAAATAAATATTTTATAACAGTTTATACTTCAGATTTTTTTAATATACTGATGTAATAATGTATTCTAAACAGAAATATGTTTGTTTGGAGTTCACATGCTGCTTCAGATGTTTAAAGATGCTAAATAGATCAAAATAACTGCTTAGTGCTTTCATATCTACTGTAAACATAATCAGTTTTATCAATTGTACAGTAGAAGAGCACAAGTATTTGAGTTTTGAACAATATATATAGAAATCGGAAAATTTTTTTACAAGGTGAAAAGAATTGTACCAAACTTCGGACAAAATTAATTATCGTAAAGTCGGTAATTAATGTGTCATTAAGGACACCTATATATACTAGTAATTGAAGTTTACATATATACAATTCCAGATCAAAATATTTCACACAGTCATTGAATTTATTTTTATTTGCTGTGTGTTTCATTTTACAACTGACATGATTATACTGCTTGATAATGACCATCCGTATATTGTATAACGTAGAAATACTACGTACCTAATTAATGTATCCCATTTGTTGCTGTGATTCATTGATTTCCTTTAGATTACATTGTAAATAATTTTTGTGAGAAAAACTAGGGCGGTATATAAACAGAACAAATAAATACATATACTAGAAACTGAATAAAATTATAAAAATTGCTAATATTAAGAATGTAATACACTCTTTACATTCTTTGAGAGTCACGATTAAAAATATAATTAAAAATATTTCGAATGATTGGCGTCATAGATCCGTGTAAAGTTATTTATAAACAGTTAATGAAATATCCTGTGTATTGAAAGATACTTACATTATCATAAAAAAATTAATTAGAATTAATGATACTTGGAAATTTGTAACACTGAATTATTTTAATAATTAAAAGTACACAGTAAATTTTAAGAAGTTGAAAAAAAAATTAAACAAAAATGTGCGTAATAAGTTACAGAGTTCTAAATCACTGGGATGGTTGAAATGTAATTTATTCGATATATAGGAATATGCTATAGATAATTCAATGTATCGTATATTAATATTTTTGTACATTCTTTTCGATGAATTGTCAATAGCTAAACATTCTATAAAAATAGGATTATTTTGTTCAACGCGTGATGTTTATATGGATATGTAGAATTCATTAATTCATTAATCTGAAACATTGATTTTTGTATACTTCATGCTGTATATGTTGTTATTTTTATTCGTTTAAATGAATATGCAGTTCAAAGTTTAAAAAATTTTATTAATTTTCAATGCATTTTCGGTATACAATAATCAGATTAAAAAATTATGATTCTATTAAAGAAAACGATAAAAATTAATAATGAATTATGTTTAAAACTATCTTTGTAATAGTATACATCAATGACACGTTACAGAAGTAATAATTTTCTAAAGTTTATAGTCGCATTTTATTCGTTTTATAGTAATACAAATGTATGTTCGAAACTTTTAATTATGTTTTATACGTAAATTGATTTTTTCCAGTCTTTAATACAAATTGCATTTGGATAAATCTTTTTTTGTGCAAAATACCTAAAGTAACATTAATAAAATGTCACAAATTGTATTATACATATTTATTGAAATCAATAAAATGATATTTCAAAGCAAATATTTTACGTTTGTTATAACCAGGAGAAAAGAAGTTGAAAGTGAACATTTAGTTAATTTAAGATCATTATTGTTACATTTGAATTTCTTACATTACGTTTTACTTGACTGTTGAAGTTCAATGTTTAATCCTGAAATTATATGTTTAACCTCATAAAGACTAAATGGAAATGATGTACATGATCAATTCTGTATACAATCACGTTCAAGTATACTTTTCTTAGAGCATATCAATTTAGATCCCCTGTAAAATATTTTAATTTTGTATGTAAATGTGTTTCTAAGAATTAACAGATTGCGAAAGTGGAAAACTCTTACATTTGTGTAAAAGTATTTAAATATTATGTGTTTGTAACAGCTTATAACGATTCTTGTACCTGCCTTGTTTTCATAATCATGATTTTATGCTAATATACACTGCGCAATGTACAGTGATGTTCATAAATGAAGTACTTTATATTTTATTATTACGTTCAATAATTTGTCATCCATCTGGCATTTATGAGAAGAATTGAACATTGCTTATTTTATGAACTTCTTGTACTTATTTATGTAAAATGAAAATTGGAGGATGAAAATTGGAAATATTCGTTGAACGATATTATCAAGTAAAATGTTTGCAGTGTAAATATAAATATGTGCTCAGGATGTACATTATACCGCATATAATTACGATTATTTAATATTAATTTGATTATGATTAGAAATTTGATTAACAAGTCCTTAAAATTTATATTATTTTTGATAAATTTTCATTCTTCAAGCTGTCAAATTAAATTTTTATACATTAGAATACAGATTCGAATGACAGGGAAAAAACCAGTTCAGTTCTAATAAATGTTGATACACATATTTGCATTGTTCATCAACTTGATGTTAGAAAGTTTAATATGACATTGTTAGAACGTATAAGTTGCAGTTATAAGTTGGTTAAATTTGAGGAAGATTTTTGTTGCAATCAATGTATAGCAATTTGAAATATAGTATTTTCATATGATAAAATAATAAAAATTTATAAATTCATTTTCACGAAAATATAACTAATTTAAAACGAAACGATACGCCGATTATTGATAAATATGAATTATTGTATGTATAAGTATTATATAAATTATTTCTTAATTTAGTGTATTTAATTAATATCAATAAAACGTTTCTCATAGTATTTTTGAATGCCTTATTTAATTATGGTCTTTGTTACAAAATAATTTTATGATTTCGTATTTGCATTAGACTAATTTTATTTAAATACTTAATCGTTTAAAAAACTCTATGGAATCGCATTCAACGTGTTATCATTTATAAATTGACTGCCATAATTAAATATGTTATAGTATAATACGTTCTCATTATTAAAAATATGTATAATTTCTGAATTTTTTCTGCCTTATTAGCATAACTGTTATATATTACCATAAAGTGTTAAATTGAGTATTAATTATCTGTATTATATTTTTAATCATTAGAATTTTAATATATTCTACTACACATATTATTATAAACTGTTTAGTTAAAAACTTAATAAAATGAATCATTAAGAATATTAAGAATATTAATTGATTTATATAATAACATCTCAGTTTGTAATTTCACATTACCAATGTATTTTCACTTTCTACAAAAATATTTATACAAAATATTTTCATTTCTTTAAAGACATACAATTTCTCATGAAAAAACAGTTACCTTAAGATTCTGAAGCACACCTGTATAAGACTTGTGATCACTAGATGTCATCCCATTTTCTTGCAGAAACGGTAAGTTTTATTTGAGACATTTTTTGAAACAAGCTATACTTTGGAAAATAATTGCGAATCTCATCATATATTTATTGAAACCAAAATCAGAAAGAAAATATTTAGTTATTCATTTTTCTCCTAAATTATTAGATTGTACAAATGACTTAATACTTTCGTGTACAGAATAACGAGTTATGTCAAAAGTTGTATTCAAAAATATAATTGCATTAACGAACTTGATTTTTACGTTTACCCTACACGTTCATGTAGAAAAACTTTCACCAAATAATTCTCCCTCTGAAATCATGCAACTTTTGCCTAAAATACTTTTTCAAATCGTTAGTATTTCCTAAAATATTTGAATGGGTTAATTTAAACAAAACATCCCGGGTACATGTAATACAAATAAGCGTAGACTAATGTTATTTTTATTTTATTAAAATAAGTAATTACGGGAATGTTAACATCTATTTTAAACGAAGCTGGAAACAGAAATGTGTATGAGTTTAATGAACTGAAATGAACTTGTGGCATGGTCAATAAAAACAAACTTAATAGTAAAATTCATTTGTATTAATAAATTAATTTTTATAAACGTACATTGTTTATCGAAATAAGTTAGTACGTTACTGCTATTTCATATCATTGTGTAAAAATAAATAAATATTACTATAAATATAATTATTAAACAGATACATTTGATTACAATGACATAAACATTGTTTTAAAATGGAGATAATAGCATTAATTGGTTGGTCGGTCGCATCAATGCCGCTAACCATTCCATTCAAAAATAACGTGAGCGATCATTAAGTACATAGTTACTGTTGCAGCACTTGTCAGCATAATAGGAAAACCCACTCTGAAGCAAAAATTATTTGTCGAATGTGATTAATTAATTTAATGTAATGTAAGCATAAATTAAAAGGCGAATTGAATGTGCACCCATACCACGACTTTCTCAGAAAATAATGTAAATCGAAAATGTGCAAATCAAAATTATCCTCAATTAAACTTGTAAATGTAATTCAAATTAAGTCGCTCATTAAAGTGTTTGGTCTCGTTTTAATCAGAAAAATGTAAAAAATTTATTGTGAATGTTTCATAGTAAAAAAAATAAAAATTATAATAGTTCTATTCTTGTACTGGTAATGTCAAAATGTTTATTCTTATTAGTTTTCTTTTTCTTAAATCTACTATTTTAAAAATCGTGCCTTTTTAAGTCACTATTATATTTTCTATTTTTCAATTTACTTCTAGCATATTCGATACGAATATACATATTTGAAAATTGTGAACTTACTTGAAGAATTGCATAAAACTGAATTTATATCCATGTTGCTCAGCAACACCTACGCAAACTACGTTGGCAGTAGCTCCAATCAAAGTTCCATTTCCTGAAAATAGATTCATCCATTCAAACACATAAATAATGTTAAAAATTATTTCCATCGAACTTTTAAAATTTAACACGTTAACTATTTATAAATGCCTACGGTTCATTTTAGTCATCTCTAAAGAATTTAGAAACTTTCTTACCTCCCATACAAGCACCAAAAGCTAACGCCCACACTAGGGGTTGTAATGGCAGTCTGAGCTCTCGATTTTGTGCCAGATTAGTTACAATTCTTATCATCATTGTTGACAAAGGTACATTGTCTACGAATGCACTTGCAAAAGCTGATACCCAAAGTAACAACAATATAGCCACTGCTAATCTTGATTCCTCATTGACCGACAAGATAATTTTTTCCGTTTGTTCTCCTATCCAAGCGATGAGACCTAACCGCGAAAGAGCCTGAAATGTGTTTTATTTTAGTGAAAATTGATGAAGTAAATTATTCTAAATCAAGGAGCATATAATAAACTAATAATAGAAACATTAGAACAAGTTAATATATATATAGGTAATTTAATATAACAAAATTATCTAGATATTGTGTGTACATAAGCTTCATCAAGACAAAACATTTAAAATTTAATTTTTAATTGTTTATTATGATAGACTATAAGTCTGATTATGCTTGACTGTTCAAGAAAAATGTTTTTACTAGGAAAAATATGACAGCCAAGGGATAAGAAGGTCTTAAGAAGGCTTTAAAGGATTTTTTAAGATTTTTTAAAGAAATTAAATATTTTGGATTGAATTCAAAATTTGGGGACAGAGGAATTTGAGTAATTTGAGATTGGGGAACCTTAGGAGTCTGTGAATTTAAAAGTCAAGAATTTTGAAGATATTTGAATTTCGGAAGTTTGGGATTTAAAGATATAGAGATTTAGAGATATGAGGGTAGTCAATCCGATTAAATGGACGTCTGTAAAATAAATAATAATTTCGATACATTTTGTAATAATTTATCAGTTAATGGATGTTATAAATTATGAAGTTTAAATATTAATATTGTTAAAGTACATTATAAATCATTATTTGTTATATGTACTAATAATACAGCGAAACGAATGTAGATATGATAAATAAGCGCGAAAGTATTAATGTCATAAAAGACATCAATATTATTTGTTGAATTCACAAAAGAATTGTCGAAATTATCAGTTTCATTGTTTTAAACAAATCTTTTCATAAATATTTTGAAAAACATTATTTTACGTATTATGCATTATTTATTTATTTTCATAGTATAGTTTAAATTTAAATATAAGTGGTCATTAAACGTTAGTAAATCTAGGGTTAAGAGTTCATCCGTACACTCTATAATGTTTCTGACAGTAATAGTGATAAAAGTTTTGTACCTCCATGAGGACGAACAGTGAGGCGAAAAATAATAAAGTGCTCCATTCGACACGAGCCATAAGACCATCTAGATCTTCGCTGTCCGCTAAAATTAATAATAAAAGGACACCAACTAAAGCCGTCAATCCCAGTGATAAATGCAGATTGGGAACACTGTGTAAAAAGAACAGCGTAATTACGAAGATTAACGCGAAGCCAGATTTTACAAGTAACCACTTATCTCGAATAGGATACTGCAAGAAAAAGTGTAAATGTATTTTAAAAAAATATAACACACATTTAAAAAACATTAAATATGAATATACGTGCGTCTAAAAATTATATGAATTTTCAAATAACACAAAATAAAGTACGTGTATTATTCTTTCATTAATATTTTGATGTGACTTGATATTTTTAGAAATTACTGGACTTACCTTTTCTTGAAGTTCTTCAAGTGTTTCTTTGTACCTATCAAGTGTTACGCTGCCTGTCACTATCCTTTTTTTTAATTGTGAAACTAGTCGTTGAACTTTTTTCAATAAAGTTTCTCTCACTAAACATTCATCCTTGCTGTAACTGGACAAACTCGCCGCGGCTCTTTGCCAAATTGCAATTTCATGCCTTAATTCCTACAATAAAAATAAAAATCGCATGTACCTTATACACTTTTGTCAAATACGCTTATTTATTCAGTGGACAGTTGTTATATCGCGCTTGATGCAACTCGGGTAAGTCGCAGAAGCGTAAAATTTTTTTAATTAATGCACAGAGTAAAGCGTGTAACTACATCTATTCTGATTAATAACGATTTCAATAGTAGTATAAATAATTTTAGCATTAAAAATTAATTTTTGTCTAAAGAGAAATATTATTTAATGAAACATTATTATTTAGAATATTAATTAATGATCATTGCGTCGGATTATATGTATATCGATGAACTTAGACTTATTATCTACAAATAAATCAAATAAATTGACTATTATCTAAAGTCAAAAAGTTTGACTTTTGCTGTCATTTAAAAAATTTGCTCAACTGAAAATACGAAGAACGATAATATAATGAGAATCTACTACGATAGAGCCTATAGACAATTTACTTTACGAAATAAAATTTTAATTTAAAATGTAGTGTAAGATATGTATGTATTAAATGAAATATTTTAATAAAATATTTTTAAGAATGTGATTATATTTTGAAATTTTTCAAACCTGTACATCCGGCGGTTCATCGAATCGAAGGACCTCCACATTTCGAAAAATATATCGTAGCTGAACATAGACTACGATTATTACTAATGCAACGCCGATGCTCATGTGTATTGTAAATGTGCTGAAATCGACACCCTATAAAATAAAAGGACAACAAATTTACTAAATTAAAATATAGAGATATTGTGAACTAGAAAAACAATGGAGTATCTATTGAAAAGGTTTGACACAATGCAAAGTTGGTTTATTTAGTTAATTATTATATTAATAAAGGACAAAATGTAATGAAGTATTTTAGTTTAAAATAGTTATGAACTAATTAAATCAATAACTTAAATATTAGTATGGCAAAGTTATGTGCATTTACCGTATTATAGACACAGCGAATAAAAAAAGATAGAAAAATACTTACACTATTAATAACTTCACGATTAGAAGCAATAATTACGTTTGGTGGATCGCCTATCGGTGTCATAGCACCACCGATATTAGAATAAATTACCATTGCTGTCAATATTGGCACCGGATTTATTTCCATTACTTCGCATAATCTGATGGTTACCGGCGTCATTAAAAGGACCGTGGTAACATTATCTAGAAACGACGAGACAAACGCTGAGAAAAAGCAGAGTGTACCTATAAGCGGCCATAATTTTCCTCCAGTTATCTGAAAATATTAGTTGTAAATTTTACATCATTTAAGTTTGATCATAAAATATCATTATATTTCACATAATTGTTAAAATTACTAATATCGTGAAAGAAAATGAAGTAAGGTCTTGTTTGAACTTCCACATATTATATGCATATACATACGTATGTATACTTTATATGCTGAAGAATCGATTTGTACATATTAAATAATTTACTGCAATTAGGTCTTTCTAGAAAATGCGAAATTATCGAGAATCTTTGTAATGCGTACACACATGGAAGTTCAGGAATTTGGTAATTTGCAAATTTAGAAATATACAAATGTCAAATTTTCTTATTTTTCTATCTTCAAATTTTATTTAATTTTCTAATCTTTGAATTTAGCAATTTTAAACTTATGATCTTTTAATATTTAATACGTAGAAATTTAATTGGATAGTAGTTTGAAATTCAGAGATTTGGAAATTTGGAAATTTAGAAATTTAGAAATTTAGAAATTTAGAAGTTTAGAAGTTTAGAAGTTTAGAAGTTTAGAAGTTTAGAAGTTTAGAAACTTAGAAACTTAGAAACTTAGAAACTTAGAAACTTAGAAACTTAGAAACTTAGAAACTTAGAAACTTAGAAACTTAGAAACTTAGAAACTTAGAAACTTAGAAACTTAGAAACTTAGAAACTTAGAAACTTAGAAACTTAGAAATATAGAAACTTAGAAATATAGAAATATAGAAATATAGAAACTTAGAAATCTAGAAATATAGAAACTTAGAAATCTAGAAATCTAGAAATCTAGAAATCTAGAAATCTAGAAATATAGAAATCCAGAAATCTAGAAATCCAGAAATTTGCAAATCTACAGTTGCATGCCCCATGGAACTAATTTGCATGTCTTGATGTGTTATAAACTTGTAAACAATCTCACTATAATTTCAACCACTACTATAATTATTCAAATGCTTTCAAAACATGATAAAGCATTTACCTTACAAGTATAAAATTACCTTATAAGCATAAACTGCTAGCCAGTCAAATATTCCTGTTTCAGCGACAACAGCGACCAATATCATCATAGAGAACAATAGCATTAATGTATCAAAGTCTATCCAAGATATTAATTCATCCATACTTGGTCTCTGTAAAATACAATCATTTTATTTTACAATAAATATTCAATTATATGTATTGTTTGCTTAAAATACCTGATTCAAAGCCGCTAGTATTGCGATCGACATAATTGATGCTAACATGGCCGCCAAAGTTCTGTGCACGACCTAGAACCATTTATTGTGATTTAAAATCATTTTATAAGAAAATAATATTGATACATTGTTTTTTAAAAATTTGTCTTCGTTAGGGATGGCAGAACACAGTGTATGCCTCCTGTGTTCATTAATACTTATTTTTCTAAGTTTTATATAAAATAAGTTAACATCTAATACTGATTTTATCTATGAAGAAACTGTGAAAGGAATAATTGTGACTATGAAAACAATTTAAGTTAAAATTTCAAAGATATTAAACTTTCCACTTGTTTGCAGTATATCGATTAATTTTTTAACTGTATTACTTTCTTGAAAAAATTTGTTTAAAAATATTCGTGAACTGAATCGATAACGAAGTTATTCATTATGTACTCGAATAAAATTCAAGCCGCATTTATTATGATAACGATATAATTAGTGGAAGGTTGAACTCTTTTAAAATTTTGATTTAGGTCCATAATCACCGGCATAATTGTATGCTGTACCACAGTTAATTTGCATCAAGAACTGATAGAAAGAGTTAACAATCCATGGACTGAATTAAACCAAAATATACATGAAATTCGTAGAGTATTAAATTCAATCTCTCCACAATGCATGACCGGATTAAACTTTTTGGAGGCTTCGGGCTATTAACTCAATGGAGGTCTGGTTCGTAGAAAAATGGAGCGAGGTGGGGATAAATTTACGTAAATATGAAATGAAATTTGTTTTGTAATAAATTATATTTAATATTTCTCAGTATGCAAACTCGCGTGCAAGAGTTTCTTTTAACGCCATTGTTAAAACTCATGTAATGTTGTAATGATAAAACGAATTTAAAAACATACTACTAACAATAAAGTTTTTGAAATATGGTACTTTTTGAATATTTTTTTTTAATTGTAATGAAGGACATATTATGATTTGTAGCATGGATCATTTTGTATACTAAGAAATTGTTACAAATTACTTTACTTAATTTCAATAATTATTTACTAAAGATTTCGTCGATTTGGACAACCTTGAAATATTTTATCAGAAATATGATTTTAAACAGTTTTTACTGTACATCTCACTATATTTTTGTTTTAGTTTCTAAGATAAGGAGAAAAGTTAAAAAGGTTTATTTTATTGTATATGTATGAGAAAATCACTAGTACATATTACAATGAACACCTTGTATGTAAGGATAAGTTGTTCAAAATAATGACCTTGACAATATATCTGAAGGTCATTGATATCAATAAGAAGCATCCTTTTGTAAATTGAAACCTTTACGCCCCTTATTGAAAAAACGCAAAAAAACAATTTGTTTAAATTGTACAACATTTTATAATAAATTGAGCGGATTGAGAAAAATATTTTAAAATAGCCTAATCCTTTGTGAATAAAACAAAATAAAATTTAGCTAAATCGGTTGAATAGTTTCTGAGAAAAAAATTCATAAGTGAAGCCTACTTTCACGAAAATGGGCAAAAATTGCAAAAGTTGAAGGCTCGTTATTTCTTAACAAATTCGAAACTGGCAAAATGATGACTTAAACCTCCCCTAATTTCATATGGACTACAATATACTTGGATTAGAACAAAATCGCAGATGATGAGGTCCAAAAGTGATCGATTTGGAATGACCCTACCTTAATTTCTAAATAGCGAATTATAGTTGTTATATTTTTTTTGAAGTCATATTAAAATAGATTAAGAGGAAATGTTAAATACCTCGAATACTATTAGAATGTATAATCCTAATAAAACAATTGCAGCATACACTATGCCTTCATCCTTGTTCATTGACGAGACGTCATAGCTAATAGAAATAGCAAAACTGGATTCTAGGTTCGTTCTTAAATTAATATAAACCAATCCTTGGTTTAATATCCTGTGAAACAAAAATTTGTATTTTACCATCTTGAAAAAATGTTAACACCTGTAAAACATGATAAAGGAGGGATACAAACACAAGGAAAGATAATAATTAAAAATATTAATGAAACATACTGTTCATTGACATTTTGCAGTTCAAAATTCTTTTGATATCTTTGCCCAGAGAAAACATCCATTAAATTTTCTGGGAGTATTGGTAACATCCATACACTGCTTATGTTCTGTACAGAAGTTATAAATTTATATCAACAATAAAATTTTAACGAAAAGAATTTTTTTGTATATCTAACTGACATTATTTTATTTAGTTTCGAAAAAGTTCGCAAATTATCTTATATCATTTTGCTCGAAATAAAATGAGCAAATTTTATTTTTAATAGCTGATCGAATTAATATGGCTGTTAATTTACAGTCAAATATATAATGTAAGAAAAGTAATGTACTACTCTAGTAAATAATAAAAGTGAATTTTACATCGAAATTATTGCCTTTAAAATTTATGTTGATTAGATATGTTATATTTCTCGCAGTGAGTGCTATGAGTCCTTTAAGTATACAGATTCCTTATTTTTAAACATCCTGTATAATGCCTTGTAACGCACGAAGAAAAATAGATTCAATTTCGCATGCAATATGCTTCATAAATTTTAAACTACAAGTATTACTATATCAGTAATTCATCATTATAATTTATAAAAATTAGACTAACTTTTTCCCAAAAACAATTTACCTTGATTATAGGTTGTTCTGACAAGGATTGAATCGTACTGTTTGTTTCGTGGATTAAGAGTTCTAGCCAAACCATTAAATATCTGTCGGATACATTCGCAGTATCTTTCGCAGATTGTACAGGCGGAAGTAACGATCCCTCTATTGTTACTCCAATCACTTTGCCAGAAATGTCACCATGCATTTTGTAATCTGTGATTGTTTAAGGACGATTCATCGTTGATATTCATTTTCATATACAACATAACAAATTTGAAATAATAAATAAATATATTTTCTTTAATTTACAAATTAAAATATTTAGATTAAGCTGGTGTCTCATTAGTATTTAACAAATTTTTACTTCGAACTTTTTTCATTCTACATTATTATTTTCTTCACACACATTTTATACATCAACTTTTATACATCGACTTTGAAATACATGCTCAAGCTTATTAATTGCAAAATTAATATTGTACACATGAGCATGTATTAATTTTGAAATTAATATTGTATACCACCTGAGCATGTACTCCAGTTATACTGATATAATTAATTAAAAATAAAAAAGGATACTTTTCGTTAGCCCCTTTGGTATCGAAATCTGGTGCATCGATTCAAATCTTTCGCTTTTAATTGTCAGAATTAACTGAAATTATAAAATAGTTAAAGTGATTAATTAACCAGAGGAAAAATTTACTACACTTCTTTTTATTAAGTTGAAACTGTATTTCTTCTCAAGATTCTTTCTGTTTTTAAAAAATATCGTAAAATTACCACACAGTATCTTTTAACGTTTTTTTTTTTTTGATAAAAATTTGTAATATTAAAGTTTCAACAGATATTGTGCTGTCAACATAAGAATTAAAAAAGTAGTGAAACTTTTGTACACTTAATATGTGCACACATTTGAATTTTAAAAATGTACATATTAAGAAGTTTAATTTAAGTATGCTCCAATAAAATTTATATAATAAACTTACAGTAAATACGATCCAACAACAAGTCAGTAAAATCAGCTTCGTGTAACGATAAAATGGTTTCTGTTTAGTTTCATGGGGCTCTTGTGTGATGTCATGTCCATCTTCATCTTTCGAGTCCACTTTTTGCATTCTAAATATTCATATGAAATATTAAATCAATATGGTATTATGAAAGATTTTAAATAGAATGATTCTAATAACTGGGTTAGGCAATAAATTCAATTTTTAAGAAAAAATCAATTTATATTTATTTGAATTTGTATTTGTATTTTTTTTCAATAAAATTAGGTATTTGTTCTTATAATAAATAAATAATAATTAGTCAAGAATTATTACATTTTTTAACATTTTAACCGAGATGTTTTGAAGCTACAAAGAATCGACTTTTTCCGATATGACAAATTAACAGAAAAATTAATTGGCGAATCGAGTACAATGAAATTCATGTTTCATTTATTGTCAATCACAGTATATTTGTAATTAACATTCGACGCGAAAACAAGTTATAAACAAGTTGAGATATTGATTTCGAAATATAAAGAGAATTGTATACATTGAACATATCGAATGAAGGGAATATTACCTGTTTAATAACTGGAAATAATACCGGTTCATTTTCTGTTTTAACAAAAATGAACGGAAAAATAAGCGGTTTATTTGTAAATATGGTTCTACCTTTGAGGCAAAAATCAGCAGTTATTTATAAATAGAACATGTTTACTCTGTAACGTATTCCATAACCATAGCAAGAGGGTTTAAAAGATTTGAGGCTAAAATAATAAAAATGAATAAATTTCAAAAATTCAATTTTTTAACTTACCTGTGTTGTAATGCATTCTGTGCTCCACGAGACGTGTTCATAACTAGGCAGTCTTCCTTTGCACCATCGGCAGTTCTGAACAATAAAAATGAAAAACTACTATTAGAAACAATTCCGGAAAAAGTTAGAAGCTAATACATACTTAGCAGTTAAACTTAGAAGTTAACACTAGAACTACCAGCATTAAATGCTCGTTTATCGAAGATCGAAAAATGAAATGAAAAGGGAAATAAATAAATACTAAAGCATCAAGTAACGTATAGAACAAGTTTTTAGCCCAACAAAATATGACATACATTTCCATAAAATCACGACAATAAAATTTTGTAATATAAAATGAGAAATCTGAAACCAGTTATTTTGACTGGTTGGTAGTTCTAGCGTTAATAACTTAGCGAATTAAGTCAACGCATATAATATGATTAAAAAACCGTAAATCAGATATTATATGTATCATAATCAAATGCACAAAAGTAAAATACACAAATAACTCTATAGTTTCAACACAGACTAAATTGATCTTGAAATACATTCTCATGATCCTGAAAAATATAATTTGACTACATTGGGCTACAATTTCGAAACAGAAAATTCATCCTAATCTTTAAAAATCTATCCGGAATATAACGAAAATCAGAACCATAAAAACTGTACCTTTTTATGTAATAATTACTTACTGTCAATAATTTACTAAATTACTTTTGAAAATAATTGCAAATATTTGCAAAAATAACATCGACAGTCGGTAAGTTAGATCGTAAGATAAAAGTCAGGATGATGTCCTGAATAATGTATTTCAAGGTCATTGTGATAGTTACATTTGCATTCAATATGATCGGATAATTACTAACGTTCAATTCGAGCTAATTTAAGTTATATAATTAATTACATGATATACCTATAATTTAACCTACATGATAAATTGTGTTCATTAACACTAGAACTACCACGAATGTCAAAAATGTTTCAGGTCTTACTTTTCAAATTTTGTGTAGTTTCTTTCATGGAAATACGAGGTGTGACACAAAAGTAACGAGACTAGATCTGTAGCTTTAAAAAGCAATGGAATTGGTAGCAATTGTTTTTGTGGCATCATCCCACATGCCTCCTCTATCCATGTTGCCAATTTCGATTGAATCGGTCATACCATTTGGAAGTATTGCGTTATTTAGTGAACACGTGCAACTGTATTCTGCCGGAAAAATGTCTAACGTAAAACCCGAACAGCGAATAAATATCAAGTTTCTTGTAAAATTTGTTGAAATCTTTTGTAACATGTGATGAGACATGTATTTTTACCTATGACCCAGAAAGTAAGCGCCAGTCAATGGAGTGGAAGTCTCCAATGGAAGTCTTCAGGATCCCCAAAATCCAAAAAAGAACGCATGTCAAAATCAAAATTCGACATTAATGGAATTGTAATGATTGAGTGGTTTCCCAGTGGTCAGACTGTTAACTAACACTATTACATTGAAATACTAAAAAGAC